TCCAGACCAGATTTCCGCAACAATCTTATCTGGAAAAAGGGTTGTTGTAGATTTAACTAAAGATGAGGTCATACTGTAGTAGGGTGGATCCTAATCCAATATGACTGGTGTCCTTATCCAAAGGAGAGAATGGACACATACATGTACAGGGAACAATCCGCATGAACATGAAGATAGTCATCTACAAGCCCAAGAGAGAGGCCCAGAACGGATCTTTCCTTCAACAACCTTCAGAAGAAACTAAGCCTGCCAACATGTTGATTTCAGACTTCCAGCCTCCAGAACCAAGAAGACAAGGTATTTCTTGAACTCCCAAGCCACACAGTTTGTGACACTTTGGTATGGTAGCCCTAACCAACTAATACACTTTCCCTGGAGCACTGACCTTTATAACTGTGGAGGTTACATATCCTTTTGAAAATATAAATAGAACAATGGAGGCCCTCTCAAGAGAAATGCAAATAGCTGCAATTTTACATACCACATACAGTTTCAGGAGTTCACAGAAGTTCTACAGCCCAGTCACAGACCCACCCCTAGCCCTCCAGGCTAGACTAAGAACCTTTGTCCCCAGTCTATGTGACTTCTCCCAACCCCTCTCTTAGGTGATGCCTCCTGAACAGATTGCCTTACACTGAACATTTCCCATGGAAAAAACAAAACAAAACAAAACAAAACACTCTTTAGTGTGTGACAGTGTCGTATAGCAACAGAAGGAATTACGCTCTGAAGAGTTGGTCCCTTGGAGCTGTGACTCACATCACAGTATTCAACTGCCTTAGAAATACTTTGGGCCCTACCGCAGTCCCCTGTTAAAACATACAGCTGCTTTTCTCTATCTTTACCTTCTTTTTAAAATTAATACACTCTTTCTTTTATAATTATGACATGAAATTTTTAGGGCTGAGTACGGAAGCAGGTAGAGTAGGCTATTGTTTTGGTGTGCTTCAGGGAAAGAACTTGAACTCAAAGTGACTATTTATATTTAAGGGTATGGGTAAAAAGGAAAGAAAAGAAGCTACGGAAGTAGCTTCCCAGAAGATAGAAGGACTCTTGTAGAGCATATGGGAGGAAGACAAAAACTCCCTTAGCTTCCTTCACACCCTGCTTAGGACCAAGTGTCTACACATATTCGGAGTCCCACAGAGTAAATTCTACATGCACAAAGCTGAAAGGCATTATGAAAATAAACATTAGAACCTGCCTTCGTCCCTCTGTGTGTGCGTGTGTTATGTAGCTCTACCTTGCTGTCTAGGAGTTAGTTGGCTTTCTCCTCCTGCTCAAATAAGCCATATCTCTGTTATTGTGGTTAAAACTCAGAGAAACGCAGTCTGTCTTCTGTTGCATTTTCTAGCCACAGATAGAAACTGCCTTACCATAGCTTCATGTTTTCTTGGAAGAATGCCTTCTACCTGTGTTTGTATGGTTTTTCTCTGTCATTCCCTTTGAGGAAGGGATACCTTGTCTTGATAGTGTCAATGGCACTCATATATTGACCCATAAGAGTGAGTCTGTATTGTCCACCTGTCATTAGTATCATCAAACAAACATTAAACAGAGTGGCAGATAATCTTGTCTGCAGCTGAATGAGAGTTCAGAAAGCACAGATGCTTCTGACGTTTGCTGCCACAGGATAGAGGGATCATCATTTAGGATCCTTCCTCTCCTACTGCTCTTATATCATACTGGCCTCTCTGTCTGGAACTTCAATTATTTGCATCTATTGAAATCCTCTTCACTTTTAACCACCTATGTGCATGCATCCTCCAAAAAGCCCTTTGTGAGTTAACTGTACAGAATATCCATATTTTATGATTTTCCTTATGTCATAATATGATATTCACAGGGTATTTACTTTATGTCCACTCCCCAGATAGTAAGATGCTGAGGACAGTGGCTTTATTCATTTTGCATCTCTCTCAGTGCTTTGGACTTTTTTCCCTGAAGCCCTTTAATAGCTGGCTCAGCCACATAGTCTTCCTAGACTTCCTAGACTTCCAATTTAATCAAAATTTGGTTTGGCTTTTGAATTTGAGGTAGAAAGTAGTTTGGCAGAAGCAAAATTGAAGAATGTAAGAAAAGGGACATAACAGAAGATGCCAGTCGATATCATTTACTGAGATCTTATGGTATGCAGTGAAAATGTGGTAGAAAGTTAAAAGATAGGAAAATAGAGGGTAAGGGAGGGAGTTGAGTTGAAAATAGAGGGTAAGGGTAAGTGTTGGGAAACACAGTAAGTTAGAATTTGTAAAATATTTAGATTTATATAGCAATTTTCTTTCAAGAAACTCAAGGGAATTGCAGTAATACAGGCACAGGTCAGTCCATTGCAATATATTTCATGTCACCAGAGACAAGATAATGCCTGGAATCAAGGAAGAATTCAGTTAACATTTGTGGAATGAGTACGTGAAGTTCTTGGTATTTTGAAGGGATGGTAGAGAAAACCAAGTCTGGTTCTTAGATTTTAGCCTTACTCCATTTCAGGAAGATATATGGGGAGGGGGCAGAAAACAGTGGTGAAAGCTGATCAGATCTTGAATCTGCCTCATAAAAAGATAGATGTGATGTTAATACATTTGCAAATTATTAGAGGCTGGCTCTAATCTGCTCAGCTACAGAAGTAGCAAGGCCTCCTTGCCTGAGGTCTCAGCAAGCTTATCAAACACATCTGATAGTGTAAGTTTTTTACTGTTGTGAGAATAACTTAACATAAGATCTAGCCTCTTAATAAATGGTTAAGTGTACAATACAGTAGATCTGTAGAACTGAATCATCTTGAGTAACTTTTTTTAAGACATGCTCTGAGGCTGCCTTAAATCAAGCCAGACACTCCTTTGGTTAGGTTTCTCACTTGAAAAAGAAACACTCTGAGTAACCCACAGTGAGTAACTCTGAAATAATACTGATATATATATCTATAGATATATATATAGATATTTTCCCCCCTCTGGCTATAATGCAGAGTGGGTACAAAAGTGGGTACGGTACGTGATAATAAATTAACCGAAAACCATAATGAGAGTGGAGAAGGGAATATACCCTGCTTAAAATAATTTGGCCAGTAAATAATGATCAAATAACCTAGTGTATATCAGTAAATATCCTGCTGGAGGGAAACATGTTGATATGTTTGGGGAATAATGAGGACGATTTGGCTGAGAACAGTGGGGCATGGGAGAAGAGGGTGGTACGAGATAGATCAGAAGAGTGGCCAGAGCCAGACTGGGTGGGAGGAAATAAGCAGTGTGGATTTTATTTTAAGTGTGAGGCCTACACTCTGGAGGCTTTTGAGTAGAGAAGTAACATAATTTGACTTAGTTTTTACAAGCTCTGTCTTGTTGCTTTGTGGAGAATGAGGTGGAGGAGGGCAGGGAATGGAAGTTAACAGTGGGCAGGCTGTTGCACTAGTTGAGGTAAGTGTAGATGACAGGGATGGTAGCAGGAGAGGCAGCAAAAGTGACTGGCTTTAGGAAACGTTCTGATATATGCAAATTGACTAGACTTGCAGATAGATCTATTGTAGGGGAGAGGGAAAGGAATTCAGAGATAACTTTTGGGTTTTTTGACTTAGCAACTGAATCAGATAAAGCAGATGGAAGGAGAAGGCTCTAGAGGGGGTGATTAAGGCTGCTGCTCTGGGCACATGCTTAACAGACACCCAAGGGAGATGATGAGTAGACTGTTGCATATATGGGCCTGGAGCTCAAGAGGAGGTCAGGGCTGGATATATGCATTGGGTGGTCATTGGTAGTCATTAGCAGAGAGATGATATTTACATGCAGGAACTAGCTAAGACTATGGAAGGGTATTGATAGAGGAGAAAATGGAGCCGTGGTCCTGAGTCCTGGGCCCTCTAGCATTTAGAAGTCAGGAGGGGGAAAAGAAACAAGCAAAAGAGACTGAGAAGGGGAGGCGGCTGAAGAAGCAGGAAAATAACATGGTAGAGTGTCAAAAACAAATCCCGTCAATAAGGATGTGATAACTGTGTCAAACACTGCTGGCAGGTTGAGAGAGATGAAGTTTTAGAACTGGCCCCAGGACAGAGCAAGATGGAAGTATTGGTAAACTGACTGAGTGGGTTGAGCAGATAGTAGGAGGCAGGGAAGTTGAAACAAGTATTTCCACTAGTTTTAGCCACAAAGGGAAGAAGAGGCTGTGGTTAGGAACATAAACAATTCATCCACCATAGCAGTAGGGAAGGTGGAATTTAAGGGTATAGATGCAGGTAGAGATCAATTTGATATGAAAAGCAAGAATCCATTATCTTGGATTAATAATCATCCATTACCATAGTTGTTGCTTGATGAAATGTTAGATGATGGAAGAATAGAAACTGCAGTAGGGCTTGTTACTACTTACTGGGTGTAAATTTATTTTCATGCTTTATGTTCATATACAAGTTGTTTAAACCAGTAATTAAAACCCTTAGAAAAGCTTTTTAGACAATTCTTTTCAGGGAAAAAAAAGTAACGTAAGAACATTTAAAATGTTTTAAATTGCTGTTTGGGCATCAATCTGAAGTATAGTTTTGCTTTGATTACTATCTCCCATCCTGCATGTCTCTCTAAAAGTATAAACAAAATAGTGGAAAATTTAATGATAATAGGTGATTCTACAAATAGTTATTCTTCTGAACTGTTCCAAAGTAATTATCAATAAATAAACAAAAAACAGCTTGCTCTAGTTAGTTTCTTCAAATTGTAATAGTCAGAATTTTAATGCTGTGTTTGTCTCTTCTTTGCTGAGTAACAGTGGACCAGCAATTTAGCTATCCTGTTACTCAAATATGTAAAATTGTTGACAAAGGGCCACTATTTTATGGTCTCAGGATCCTCCTAATGAAGCACTATTAATATACATTTTTTCCAATTTTTGTATTGTAGTAAAATACATATAAAGTTTACCATTTTAACTGTTTTTAAATGAACAGCTCAGGAGTATTAAATATATTCATATTGTGCAATCATCACCACTATCCATGTCCAGAACTCTTTCATAATAATATGGAAGTCTTTATGAATTTGCATACCATCATTGAGCACGTGTCATGCTAATCATCTCTGTAATGTTCCAGGCTGAGTGTATGTGCCGCTAAAGTGACCACTTATTCACATTTTAAAGAAGACATTTGTTTTTAAAAAAATATGTCTATTCATTTTTGAGAGACCGAAAGAGACAGAGCATGAGCAAGGAGGGGCAGAGAGAGAGGGAGACACAGAATCTGAAGCAAGTTCCAGGCTCTGAGCTGTTAGCACAGAGCCCGACTTGGGGCTTGAGCCCACGAATTGTGAGATCATGACCTGAGCCAAAGTCAGATGCTCAGCCAACTGAGCCACTCAGGCGCCCACAAGACACTTTTCTATGTAAAGAAGAAAACCTTACAGAAACTGTGATTATTGTTAGTCATAATCATTTGATTATTATTATCAAAATAACAGCTTGGATCAATTCCATCATGCCCCATATCAAGATATTGAGGCATGGAGGGTGACTATGTTCTCCCCTAAAATGCCCTTTGGTTATATACTCAGAGGCAGAATGTGAGATAGATTATTTGAATCAAAATGATTTATTGCTATGTGTTTCTAAATCTCTCGTTGAAGATGAAATAACTAAACAATGATTCAAACCCAAATTGACTGAGTTCTTACTATATTCCAGGCATTTTTCTACATAACATACATGCATTATCTAGCTTAATCCAACAAGAATGCAATGAGCTAATTCTCTTATTTTCATTTTAAAGGCAATAAAGCTTAAAACTAGATTTAAAAAGGTATAATGAACTATTCATGGTTTCATAACCAGTGAACTGTGGGTGAAAGAGGTAGTCCTATGTCAGCTTCACAGCCCTTCGCCTTTTTAAAAATTAATTTCTTTATTTTGAGAGAGACAGAGTGAGCACAAGATGTGGTGAGGGAGAGAGAGAGAGAGGGAGAGAGAGAGAGAGAGAGAGAGAGAATCTCAAGCAGGCTTCACACTGTCTGTGCAGAGCCCTACATGGGGTTTGAACTTACTAACCACGAGATCATGATCTGAACCAAAACCAAGAGTCCTATGCTTAACCAACTGAGCCATGTAGGGGCCCCCTAAAGAACCTGCTCTTTTCTTTAACAGCTTTATTGAGGTATGATTCACTTGCCATACAATTCACCCATTTGAAACACACAATACAATAGTTTTTAGTATATTCAGAATTGTGCAGTCATCACCACCATCAATTTCAGAATATTGTCATCATACCAGAAAGAACCCCACACCCATTTCTCACCACTGCTATAAAAGTCTGCTGTCTGTCTGTTGAGGTTTACCCACTATGGACATTTCATATAAATGAAATCATACAATGTTTGATTTTTGTGACTGACTTCCTGCACTTAGCATATGTTTTATGGGTTTATCCACGTCATAGTGTGTATCAGTATGTCATTCCTTTCTATTGCTGACTAATATTTCTGTGTGTGGATTTTATTTATTTATTCATCAGTTGATGGGCATTTGGGTTGTTTCTACTCTCTTGGCTTTTACAAATAATGCATTTGTGAACATTCAGGTAAGCTTTGTGGTAGACATATGTTTTCACTTCTCTTGGATCTATACCACCCAAGTATGGAACTGCTGGGTCACATGGTAATTCTATTTAATCTTCTGAGGAACTCCCAGACTGTTTACTCTTAAGCTCTGTGCGCTAGTCTAGTTTGAAGTGATGGAAGACCATACCTCCCCCAAATTTAGACAATCTCTCTGAACTCATCCTGTTTTCATTCACACATTTTATTTTTGCTTGTGCAAACACTTATATCCCAAATAATAATACTTAATCTTATCAAGGTTTTGAGTTGCACTCATAATTATTTCTTAGCGTTTTACAAGTAAATGTTTTCTCTATAGCTACACTTCAGTGGTTTGGGGGAATGGGGGAAGATTTCCTAGCTGCAATTTCTCTGTATTTATGTTCATAATTTGCTGACTTCTGAAATGATGGTTTTGAAATTAGAACATTTCCTGAATTAAAACTGCTATGCCAGAAGACTCCATTTAGAACTAATTGCAGCTCTTATCTATAATATTCCTGTATCTATGTTCTGATTTGCACACCTGTTATGCATCGATATCTTAGTTTGTTTCCAGAATTTTTCCTAATGGAGCTTTATTATCATACACTATCTAATTCAGGAAGCCCTTACATATTTGTATGAGGTTGGTGAGGTTTCTGCTTGTTTTATTTAGACTTCATGTTGTGGGCTTTCCTCACACCACACCCTTTCTGTTGTTCTTTATTAGGAACTCATGGCCGCAGTTAGGTAGAAAGAGCAAGGTTCTGAAAGACAGCTGAACCCCGTTTCATTTTGGCTTCTCCACGTATTGCACATAATGTAATATTATGGTCAACTTATTAAATTGCTAAGATTACAGACAGAATTTTAGATTTACACATGATCAAACAGACATTTGTACAGCTGAGTGGAAATATATGTCCTATTTGTTGAGGGACATGGCAGAAGGGATTGTGAAATGGCTTTAATCCTATCTCAACCAACATACACGGGTCTGTTGAGTTCCATGTCCCTCTAATGTTCCCGTCTTCCTCACACTCCTCCCCTTTCCTTCCCAGAGCTGCTTCCCCCAGCAGGTTTGAGCAGCCACTGACATTACCCTGCAGATGAGGCCAGATCCACAAGGGCATGTGGGCAGGAGGGGAGAAGAGGGAACAACTCTCCCAATCCTGTTCCTTTTAACCTCCTCATTCCACACTGGATTCTGACACTGCTGGTTAGTGTGTCTCCAGAGGTTTATTGTATCAGATATCAGACTGGCTTTTCTCTTCATTTACAATTTTGTAAATTCTGAGAGAACTGCTTTTTATTTACTTAAGAAAATGTGGTATATACATAGAATGGAAATCTTGCAATATGCTACAACATGGATTGACCTTGAGGACATTACACTCAGTGAAATAAGCCAATCACAGAAAGATAAATACTGCATGATTCCACTTATGTGAGGTGACCAAAAGTCAAATTTATGGAATCAAAGAGTGGAATGGTGGCTGCCAGGGGCCAGAGGGAGGAGGAAATAGGGAGTTACTAATCAATGGGTATACAGTTTTAGTTAAGGTGTAAACGTTCTAGAGCTCTGTTGTACAACATTGCACCTGCAGTCAACAATATTGTATTATACACGAGGCTAGATCTCATGTTAAGTGTTCTTTCCACAATAAAATTAAAGAGAAATTTATTTTCCAGTGAGGAAGGCTAGGTTACACTTGGGTTAAATTCAGAGTTACAAATCGCATCTGGTCTCTCTTATGTGGCAGTTTTTCATAGTCAGAACTGAACTTTGTGGAGCCAAAGAACTGAATTTCTGTGGCTTGATGTGTTTCCTTAGATTATGTTACCTTGAAGAAAGATTGCTGACTAGGTACCATAAACAGTATATGCCTGAAAGTCAAATTATTGCTTAAATAAATAAACATTTGAATTCTTAAAGATGTATATGTCCCATGTTGTCATGTAGGACATGAAATACTACTTTGAAGTTTGATTCTCCCTTTTTCTAAAAAAATAAATTTGAATTATTCTCTAAAGTTTTTAGCAAATATAATTCTCTATAAAGAAGACAATACTTCTTTAACATGAGCTATTCTCACTGTTTTTGGCTTCCAATTTTGTTGCCTCAATTTTAATTGTGATTTGTGTTTTCTGAGCCAGAATTGTTTCAAATGAACACAAAAGTTTCTATTGTTTGGTGTCCTACAAAATGAGCACGCCTAGCTGCAAAAGCCTTAGCCGGGTCAGTTTTTGTTACTATCCCTCATCGAGACCCTTCTTTCTTGTTTTACATGAGTGAGCCATGAAGAAGCAACTAATATTTGACCAACTTATTTAAAATCAAAAGTGAGTCTTCACTCAGTCACTGTGTGTCTCTTAGAAGAAGATTAGACATGTTTTTAAATTCTGAATGCTACAACTAAATTTAGCTGAAGTGCATTGCTTTCTGAATGCTTCCAGAAATGAAACACTGTGCTTTTGATTGCTGCTTTTGGAGTCTCATTAAGACTCTAAAGGTCAGAGGAACAAGGACTGGAGGAAAATACATTCATTTACAATACAAACAGCACAATCAAAACGTAGAAATCAGGCACATACATCATGTGTTTCTACCAGGATATTTGTACGAAGCCAAATCCCCCTTTTTCCCCCCAAGTTCCCTTTTTTTGGGTAGCTGATGTGTTTAAATGGTGTCATGTATTCTACCAAATGTCTACAGTGTTGTTACTAGTGGAGAAATATTTTAGACTGTCAACTGTTTGTTCCATAAACTAATTTTTGAACAGAGGGTGATGTCAGAGTCAGATATTTTTTGCCATAAAATGAAATCTCTATCTCCATAGAAGGTAACTTTCTTAAGAGATAGGCATTCTTCCCAAGCCCTCTGCTTTACACACACTTTAAAAATTTCATGAGGTGAAGAAGGAACAGAGTGATTTTGGCCCCTGGAAAGTTGCCACTAAAGGATAACATCAGATTTTGACAAAGAATACACCGGAGAACAAACTAACATAAGACTCAGTTTTCTGAAGAAGAGTCTGGCTAGCTTGAAATTGAGTTTCCTCAGGCACATTCCTGTAATTTATTACTGCTAGTAATAGGGAGATTATTGTCATATGTGTACGATGGTATACTATAGAGGAATCAGTGGGGGCTTGCCTTTAATTTGAATTTAGCCTTTAATATTTCCCTTCCCTACCATATTAAGAAAATAACATAACTTTAAACACTTCACTACTTGTTTTTTCATATTCTATATTTAGCTTTTATTGTTTTTGGCTCAAAATTATAATAATCACATGACTTAACCTTTTTGAATCTATACTGGTTGCTATAGTATTTAACGATTCCATGTGTATTGTTAAATACCTACCATATTCCAGACACTAGTCTAGGTGCTATGAATTCAGCAATGAATTATGTAAATAAAAATCTGTCTGTATACTAGGCTTTTCATTCTGGTATATACATCTATACCTAACATTGTCTTTTCCTTCCCCAACCTCCAGAAAAAAATTACAAATTATTTTTTTGTCAATCATTTTATTTA